ACTTCTACTGGGCTGAGCATGAGTTGGGAAAGGCATTGACTGAGGCAGAGGAAGCCCATGGAGGTGACTTCTCCATTCTTTTTGTCTTACCTCAGCATTTATCATTGAACTTAATAATGGTATATTGACTAATGTATGGTGGCTGTCTATTTGTTGAGACCCTAAGCATCCCTCGGTGGCGGCCGTATTAACAAGCCTAGCTCTTATGTATAGGCGTAAAGCAATTCAGGAACATTCAAGTGCGCTGTTGATTCAAGAGGTTATAACTCTCCAATATATAAATTGTCAGCAACAAATTTAATCAATTTTAACTTATAGCAAAGGCTCGTTTGTTTTTCTGCTTCCCAAAAATAAAAATAACAATGATTGATGACTAATGGGATGCCCCGGGATGTTTTATATCTGGTTGTGTTCTCATTTAAAGCATTGTGCTATGAAGTGAAATCTATTTCTGCTGCTATATGCAATTAATATTATTATTTGATTGTGCAGAAATGTGAACTGTGTATTTAACAAATTGATTGGCCTACTTTGGTCGAGTGTCAGGCCAGTGCCACTGTTTTCATAAAAGAATTTGAAAATTCTGTATGAATGAGCATTGGGGATACAAATTTATATGCATATTTAAAACTTACCTGACTAATGTAGTCTTCTACTTATAGCACATTATCTGCTTAAATTATTTAGGACCCCTTCACTCCCTTTGTATACCTAATTGATCACCAACAAATATTATTTAATTCAAACAATAATTATAATTGGAGAGAATCATTGACAGGGCCTTTACCGAAAAGTGATAGATATTTTGAAGGTTCCATCAGAGGAAACCAAGACTGAAGGTAATATTGTTGTGCCGTTTGATTCCGGACATCCATGTAGTGTCTATAAAATATCTGCCTACACATAGTGAAGGCATATTGAAACCAAACTTTTTTTGTGTAGGTGGTGCACCATTTGTAGATAGAAGTGATATAGCTGCACTTGCAAGAGGTATGTCAGAGTCTTTAATTCAGTACAGTACTATAATCTAGGATGTCAAAACCTGATTAAAGTGTGTTGGAGTATTTCAAAAGATTGTTATTTTAAAATGAACCAGTCTTATATTGTAGAAAAATTCTTTGAAGAATGTACAAGCTAACATTTACATTGAGCCTGCAAAAGCCCTTGAGATAGCCAAATATCTAAAGAAAATGTTATAGCGATAAATTGTTTATTCCAGTGTGCATGTACAAGGCGTAGTGATCCTTTGATTTTACTGAAATTAATTTAATTTTACTGTTTAAAATTATCTTACATAGAAATGTTAACATTTAATTTTGGCAGATAATGTTGCACTGCATCTGTAGCACACACATAACCCATAGGTCCTGGATTTGATATCATATAAGTGAAAAACTATGTATGAGATTAATCTCTCTTGTATAGAAAATATACATAGAGTACTTTATTTATAATAAAAGAAATATCGACTAAACCAAAAATACAAAAAAAATATAATAATAAAGTAACTATATAAAAAAAAGATATCTATATAAGATATCTAATAATCTAATATATCTAACAATAGTTAAAGTAGAGCTCATAGTGTAACTTGTCCTTCAACCACTTGTTGTGTTGGTAGTGAAATCTTGTCATGATTGCCAATGCTGAATACCAATACCGAAGAGCCAACATAGGTGACTGGTGAAGGTATTTCAATGGTTGACTTACCCGAAACACACAATAGGGTGGAATAAGTGGAAATAAAGGTAGATACAACTGGAGAACCCAAAATTTGATCACGAATATGTGAATAATCATTAGGAAGTCCATGTAAGGTCAAGAACATGAAAAACTTTGATCTTGAGAAAGAGTGAAAGCAGAGTCCGATGAAGGTGATTGTTGCCAAAGAGGATGTTGGACATGCTGCCACGTGTGGCGAGAAGTGGCAGTGGTGGTTGTCAGTCCAAAGGGCTGCAATGATGACTGTGACAACAATAGTGCAGCAGGGGAGACAGATTGGGTGGTGGTAGCACAATAGTGGCAAAGAAACACAGTGGCTGAGAAAAAACTAAGAACAATGTTGGAAATTAAAAGAGTGGGTTTCACCGGGAAGACAGAGATTAAACCTGGTTGTGCTTAGAATGGAGATGGATGACTTCAAATTTCTCCTTGTTTCCTTGTCTTATAGTGTCACCCTCTAGCTTTATTAGGCTTAATAGGTCCCCGACTATAACGTAGGCTGAAAAGTTCGTATTTACGCCTCTTTTACAAATAAAAGGAAATGATAAATCCTATATATTATGAGTTCAAGAAATGAAAAATAAAGAAACTAAAAAATCATGTATGAGCAAGAATATCTTCTTTTGTTATGCTCCTTGTTATCCTTCTTGAAATATTGTATTTTTGGTCTTTTTCTTCATCTTCATTAATGCACTCTTCAGAGTGTTAGTTAACCTTAAGAAACAGTAAACACAAGCCAAAGGAATGACTAGTCCCCCACTGAATAACATTATGCCTTAATATTCCATTTTAAGGCTCTGTATGTGCATGACTGTAGATTATTCTGACTTGTCTAAATGTTGCTTAATGTTATAGGTGCATATGCAGAAGTACTTAGTGTCCAAGAAAATAGAAAGGATGAAGGGGAGAAGATGAAGAACTTGGCCGAGTCTATGTGGAAACACCCTAAGATGTCACTTGCCGATGCTCTCGACACAGACACGAAGGTCATAGATACTAGAATTAGTAGGATTATTTAAATTGTCCTTCTTCAGGTAGGTACCCTTTTGCTGCTACACTTTATAATCGTTATCGATTTTATGTTTTTAAATTGATGATAAAAAGCTAATTTTTATGTAATATTTTATGAAATGATCTTATGAAAAGCTTTGTGCTTTGAAAGCAAAGCTAGTTAAGACTCTTGTTAATCTACAACAGTGAAGTAAAGCTGTCAGAAGTCTGAATTATGCAGGTTAATGTGGATTTCCTTGCTACTTCTGAAATTTGATACGTGGTTATCAATTTCAATAATTACTAATGTTCTTATTGATATTCTTACTATTGATTTAGTGGGTGTTTGGAAGTTACACTTACGTGGTGAAAAATCAAAATGTTGTTTCGTAAATTTATATTTATAATTATTTTCAACAGATATAAAAAGAGTAGTGATCTACTATGAAAAAAAATGCAGGGTTAAGTTCAAAGACCCATGACAACCTTGAAACTACTTTTTAATGTAGTGAAAAATCATAGTGTAATATAATGTCAGTAATAAAAGAGTGTAATATAATGTCAGTAATAAAAAAGTGTAATATAATAATTTTTACAGTCTCATTATCATTCCAAATACATTGAATAGCAGGGCGTTTTTTGTTTATACAAATTGGATATAAAAGAATGTTTAGACATGTTTTACGTTATTTATCACTTGGTTTTATTTTGAGTTTTCAATAATTTTTTCTTTAACATGTTTATCTGACAAATTAAATATTTTTGTTTAAATCCTTAAATAAAATATTCATTTGTATTTATTTTAATCTTTAAAATGTTTTTATATTTTATATTAATTTTTAAATATTTGTATTATCATAACAAATATGTTTTCATGATATGATAATGCCACGTCAATGATATTGATCATTGATCAATAATACAAGGCTCTTGCCTTACAGAGTTAAAATTTAAAGAGAATACTATCTTACTCGTACATAAACTCGTGATTTTTGTCAAATAATTATATTTCACTATGGATATATTTACACAATTTTTTTAAAAGATTTTTAGGAGAAACTACTTTATAGAAAATATCCTGTATAATTTCTTTAAATTTTATTTTAACTTACTCATAAGTTAATTTTATGTTTAATGTCTCAATAGGTCCCTATTTTTGTTCAGAATTTGAAATAAGTCCCTTTATTTTTTGGCGTCTCAATTGGGTCCTTATTTTTGTTAATTTGATGCAAATAAATCTTTTCCGTCAATTTCATCAAACGGCGTTAATGAATGTGTGACGTGGCCTTACACGTGTCAATACTGTCCTCAGGCCACGTCACTTATTCATTAACGCCGTTTGATGAAATTGACGGAAAAGATTTATTTGCATCAAATTAACAAAAATAAGGACCCAATTGAGACGCCAAAAAATAAAGGAACTTATTTCAAATTCTGAACAAAAATAGGGACCTATTGAGACATTAAACCTTAATTTTAAATTTATAAGTTTATTTTGTTTTCCTAAAAGTTTTAGGAAAAAGCTCGTTTAAATAGTTATTGCAACTTCTTTTATTCGTAGGTCGTGCTTTGCTTCTGTAATCACTTGCAAATCTAATCTAATAATTAATTATTTCTTTGGAGTTACAATGCGGTACGCATAAAAAATTACTTTTTTCAAATTCAAAATATAGTATGCACAAAAGTTAAATAAAATTTAATCTATAATAATTTGGAGCCAAATTACTTTAATTTCATTTTAATAGATGAGTTTCAAATACAAACTCATTAATTGATTTTAAAACAAACCCAATTAATTGAATATGGATTACATACTTTCTTTTGAATTTTAAAAAATAAAAATTCAATATTCATCATCTTTTGGTTGAAGACAATATCTTTAAAACGTTTCTTTAGCTTGGATTTTAACATCATCATTACCTCATAATAACTTAGAGCATTATAACTACCATCTTAATTAAGATTTTATTGGCTTGGTATAAAAATATCATTAGATCAACTTCCATCAAAATGTCATTAGATCGACCTCCATAAGAGAGTATGTTAGGTTAACTTTGATTGAAATAACATCAAAATAACTTTACTATTTTTTAATTTAAAAAGACCTTAGCAGATTTACCTCAGAATCAATTCATGATTAAACAAAACATTTATTACCAACACAATGTCTCAAAATTTAACGAGTGAATAACTTAGTTTAAGCTTGCCACGCAGTTTGAGTTCAGTTTACCAAACCAAGAAAAACAGCATTCATGGCATTACTCAAACATACTCAAGAACATCAGAAGTTCACCTCTACACAGATTTTAGATTAAGGAAGATTGTGTACACAGATACAAGATTACGAAGATTTTCAAATGACATGGCAATTTGAAAATTTGTTCATGAAACCAGTAAAATAAAGTTAAACATGACTTTATACGCGACAGCATTTACTCGCACAGACCAAAAAATTGTTCAGAGAGGAAGGTTAAGACCTTTGCCAACATCAACCCCAATCACCTGAAGTATTCCCTTGTTTATTATCTGCAAAACCACACAATCAACCAAACTCATAGCCAATGTTTATGCTCAAACAATGGTAAGAAAATAAAAATAAAAATAAGGATTATTTTAACATGTTAATAGATGATTGAACAAATGAAATCAGTACTCACAAACTCTACAACAAAAACTCCAATGATTCCAATCATGCAAGCTCTAGAGTTCCATATTTCTGCAGTCCTAGTGAACCCAAGAAACGGAGGCTTAAACTGCGGCTCAACTTTTGGAAATTCCACCTGAAAGAAGCAAACAAACATGCCCAATTGCTTCATAATCCCCAACAACATCAACAACAAACAAAAACTGCAACAAGAAATGGGAATGACAGAAGAAGCAAAAGAAGAAGCTTTACACCAGCAGGGGGCTTGACTGCGTGTACAACGAGGGAAACCCTTTTAGATCGATTCAAAGAACGATTTTGAAGCAAAAAAAGATGATTTTTTGGAGAGTTGATTGATGGGGTTGTTGCAGGTATGAGTGATGGCAGCAAAGTGGAGGATGAAGTTGCCATGGCTATGGTTGACAAGCACAACCGGTGCTTGTTCCTGTGGCTTATCTAGTTCTTTTTTCATTTCTTATTTGCTCTTGTTTTTTGTGTGGTTGAAATTGGAACAAGTGAGACTGAACAATTGTCTACGTGTAACTATAAGTGTGGTCGGTAATGCTATATATCTGGTTATTTAAAAAATTATAAACACTGAAATTTTGTCTAAGCAGTGTCTTTCGCTAATAAATCGATTTTTAAGAAACTCTGTAAATGAATATTGTTAATATCATTTTCTGTAATAGACTTATTTTTTTATTTATGGGGGAGAATTTCATTTAAGATATTCGAATAGTAACATCATTAGCAGGGGAGAAAAATGGTTATAATTTAGTTTATGAAGAGTTTAATTGTCGTTATTTTTTTCTATTTTTTTTAATTTTTGAAAGAAAATTGGAATATTTTTTTTGGAATTTGACTTTGGAATAATGTAATTCAAAGTGGATTTTTCATGTTGGACAACAGGGTTCATAAATGGGAACTCGATTTCTAGAACTAGTTATTTTCTGACATTTAACAACATTGTTCACAATGACAAATTTGACTCCGTAAACATCCAATTCTGACTAATAATTTTTCAATCCTAATAATTGTAATTATAATCCTTATATTTAAAACAAAGATCTTGTAGTTTTTGTTTCAAATTTCTCCTCACAATTTGAATTGCCGATAATTTTGGTCATGAAATTCATTTTGCGCAATTTAGATCCCTTAATCATTAATTAATTATTACTTTGTTCCATTTGTAATTTAAAAAACATATTAGTTTACCATCAAATTATAGTATTATGTGTATTTCCTCCAATTTCATTATCTCATGTCCAAAGTAACAAAAAGTAAATGATAATTGAACTTACAACTGAAAAAAAATTATGTGTAATTAAAAATGAAAGAACTAAAATTACATTAAAATATTCAGAGACCTAAATTAAATGGAATTAAAGTTTTGGAGATTAAAATTGTCAAAAATAATATATGAGCTAAATTATGGATTTGATAGAATTTAAAGACTAAAATTAAAATTAAACCTAATTTAGACACTAAAATAGAATATGCTTTCGACATTTTAAACGAATTTGAAATTTGAATGTATTCATATACATACAAATTTCTATTAATAACAGAACCTTTCATTTATAGTTCAATAGAGGAAGAAGATTATGTGAATTTGTCTCACAAATCTCTACTTTAATTTTAATTTTCTTTCATATTAGTGTTATAGTAATAATTAACATTAATCATAATCCGTATTTTTTAAAAATAATCTTACAATTATATTTACATTTTTTTTTCATATCAATATTTTGAATTTCAATATTTTATTTATTCACATCAACTTGTTCTTGAACCTACAAAATTACATTAAGATTAAGATTACCATAAAAAAAATATAAATATATTTTATGAAAAACTCTCACAATAAGTTCTTTAATCAAATCTTACCATTCACAGTTTCAATCAAAATAATATACTTTATTACACTAGGTTAAAAAAAAGAAAAAAAAAGTACATGTTACATAATAATCTTAACTAACGAGTTGTCAAGTAAAAACATATTTAATCATTTATCGATTTGCATCTAAAAAATTAACAATTAGAATCTGAATAATCTGTACAATTAGACGATATTCCACCCTTGTAGATAAGTAATAGATCAAAAATACCAGTAAGGTACCTAAAGATAAATTTCACAACTTTTCAATGTTCCTTTTCAAGATTGTCCATGTATTTACTCATCACATTGACTATTTGAGCAATGTTAGGTTTATTACATACATTGCATATATCAAGCATTCGCACTTTAGTAGCATAAGGATCATAAAATATGTATTTCTTCTATATTTCAAATTGAGTAGTATTAAATACACATAAACAAATAAACAATGTGAAAGGAGTCATATTTTCATCTAATCACCATATCTAAAATCTTTTTAGAAGCTTTAATCTTTTTCACTTCATATTTTTCACTTAACAACAATTTCAACTTTTGAATCTAAAACATGTTCTTGGACGCTATTAGCATATCACTTAGATACATTAGTAGATAAACCTAAGAACTGTCATTTTTTATTCCTATGATAAACACATACTTAATTAAGACTTTTTATTATACTGATAAGATGATTAAATCATTAAATCTCTTTATCACAATCTTAAAAATTGCTACAACCTACACAATAGGATTTGCAATTTACAAACCTTGTCCTCCTTCTCGAGTTCCTTGAAACATTTTATTTGAGAAAAAAAAGATCCTTTTGAACATAATTATGGAGTAACAATTTTCACATCAAGTTGCTTTAATTTCAAGTCTAGTATTGCCACTAGAGCAAGAAGAAATTTGATGAATGTGTGTGTCTGAGCACCAAAGAAAAAATCTCATAATAATGGACACCTTCATTCTAATTATAATCCTTAATTATTAGGCAAGGCTTATTATACTTAATGAAAAGAGTGTTGGATGCACTAAATAGTAAAGTTTCAACATTGGTCACTTTAAAACTTTTTTCTTAAAGATTCATTTTAATTCAACAAATCTTTTTCCTTTTGGTAGCTCCACTAAAACCTAAGTATTATTCTTCAAAAGAGATTCAAACTCATCGTGCATTGTCACAATCCCAAATACCTTCAAAGTTAAGTAATCAGTTAGCTTGTTAAACCATACATAAAATGATTTTGTAAATTAATGACAACGATTGACCAAGAAGCAAGTTGTGTTAGCTGTCTCAACCTTGAATCTTCCTTCCAACATAGAATTATACAACATTCACATTGTCTCTCTAACAATATCTAATTACTCCTTTCCATTGCTTCATTATTTCAATGTCTTCATCTCTACCTAATTTTTAAATTATTCAAAGCATAATTCAATCTATTGCCTATCCTTAACCACTTCAACTTCCTACCATTTTCCTTAAACATGAGTGTTTTCAATGCTTGAAGTGACCGAACACTTTAAACTTATGCTTCATTGCAAAACCCAAGTCATCCTCAAGTAATTATTAGTTACAAAGAGAAATATTATGCACCTTCCAATAATGGAACTCTCAAAGGACCATAATAGTCAAAATAAATGTAGTTTAATGCTGCATTATCTTGAAAATTAATGCCTTTGCTACTTGACATATATGTAATTTATCTTATAGTTACTAAGTAATATGGCCTAGATGAAGATGCCATAACATTTTCATCTTCCTCGCATTCATATGGCCTAGATAAAGATGTCATAAAGACTTCTTGAACAAATCAAGTTGAATATCTCAATGGACTTTTACAGGTTGTACAAGTTACCTTGTCTCTTAACCTACCACAAACTTATTTTCCAAGATTCACACCACTCGACCTTTAACACTAAATGTAAAAATATCTAACATTCAATAAACCTATTAAAATTTGGTTCAGTCAAAAAAATGTAACACACATTGGATAATGTCTTGATCATTCCATCAGTCATTCAAATAATATTTAATGCTAATGGTCTTACAAAGAACATTGTTGCTCATCAGAACATCACCACCATACCTCTTTTGATATATCATTAATCAATCTTAGTTCAAGTACATATGAAAATAACAACTAGAGTCTGTAACCCACAACATAGAATAACCCAATTACTCCCCTAACAACAAACACCAATTCTGCCATGGACGATGAATCACTTCCCCGATAATGATGTCATTTTTATTTTTGATGTTATAGTTGAAAATAAAAAAAATTCTCTAAATTTTGAAATATAGAATATAACCTAAGTCAATTCTCAAATGAAACAAGTTAATTTGGGGCTTTGAGGATTGAAAAAAAAATTAAATTGAAGAAAACAAACCAAAAATCAAAAGTAAAAATTAAGAAAGTAAAAATAGATTAATTCATAAATTTAAAGAACCAAACAATCTAAATAGAACATTTATCGAAAGATTCAACCGAAGTTTAAAAAATAAACCAATTTAATTAATCAATTAAGATAATTATACGAATTAAATCAAAATGTCGTTAAATCCAATACATATTTAATCATTAAATCAAGGGAAATTTAATTTTTTAAATAAGAAACACAATTTTCAACCACAAATAACAAAACTAAAATTAATGAAAAAAACACAAACTTAGAACAAAATAACTTACTCTTAAATAATTATTAGAAAAAAATGTGCCTTTAGCTCTTCAAAAAATCAATAATTTGGACACATCTTAAAGTGTTCCTTCTTCTCTCCTTACAAATTTTTTTGTTATTTAATCTAACTCCAAGTATGTGTTTTCAATCTGTAAAAACAAAATCTCAAGAAAGTAAAATGTGTTGTATTTTCTATAATTTAATCACGGAGTAAGTTTGATTATTCTTTTAGTCAATAATAAATTATAAATGATACCTTCTCACTCTTGCAAAAATATTTAAAATCACAATTTAACTTTCCTATTGTATTTTATATCACTTATACTTTTATTATTATAAAATGGGTTAAATATGTTTTTAGTCCCTAAACTATTGGCCGTTTCTGGTTTTCGTCCCTCTTTTAAAGTAAGGTACAATTTGGTCCTCACTCTTTTCGAAACGTTCGTTTTAGTCCTCGGAATTTTGGTTTTAGTCCTCATTTGTTGCTAAATGAGGACCAAATTTTTAAACAGTGTTTAGTTTTCGAGGACTAAAACAAACGTTTTGAAAAGAATGAGGACCAAATTGTACCTTCCTTTGAAACAGGGACGAAAACCAGGAACGGCCAATAGTTTAGGGACTAAAAACATATTTAACCGTTATAAAATAAACTATATATATATATATATATATATATATATATATAATTATAAGAAAATCATTAACTATCAACCAATTTTAGAGATAAAACCTTATTAGTCTCTATATTGATTAACTTAGTTACCATTTTATAAATAAAAAATTATTAATATTTAAAACAATCTTTATTATGAATAAAAAATTATAATTAATGTATGAATTAAAATCTAAATTGGTCTCTAACTCTAACATTAATTACTAAGAAATTAGTGTTTAAATTTAAAATTAGAGACTAATTTAGAATCAATAATAATAAATCGTTAAAATTTTGGTAGTTAATGCAAGATGTCATACCAAATGCAAGATGACACTGATGTGTTACATTTCTATTGTTAGTGTTAAGGCAATGTTAAAAAGAAAAAAAAAAAGTCCATCATATCTATCATCTTTTTTTTTTTTTCATGCATTAAGAAACGTAAAATAAAGTAATTTATTATCTGAAAGTCAAAATTATTAAAGTGATCACCATCTTGACTTAGTTAACCTTAAATCAAATAGTTTTGAAAATTTAGATATTAAAAATCAGAAAGCTGAAAAAATATATAATAAAAAAGATTTATAAACTCATTTCAAAATTTTAAATTGAATATAGTAAAAATCCTTTATTTAAGTTGGAGTGTTATATTTACGATGAATATTTAAATTAGTTATTAATTTAGACAAAGCCGTTGTAGTAAATGACAATAATTGAATATTAATTAGTCTTTGATATATTGTGAGCAACATAAATTTTATAGATAATAATATTTTGGCAACATTTTTTTTGATATTTTAACATTATTCATGTGTCATTATGTGATTAGTCTAAAATTACTCCATAATCAATAATAATAATTATAAACATCAATGTAGATCAATAACAGAATGACATGTAAATGATGTTAAAATGTTGTTAAAAAATGTTGTCAAAATATCATTATCCAAAAAATTTTATGGAACTTCTTCAACTTTTGATGCCACCACTTTCTATGTGATTTTTTGCTAAACCATGGTTCTCAATATGAAAGCAAAGTTGTTTTGAAAGAATGAGCATGAAGATATTCATAATTCAGTTAAACAAATATACAGAAGTGATAATCTAGTGGGGGCATGAGAAAAAAAGCTATGTTGTCATTGTTTATGTTCGTACTTTAAAATATACGACAGACTCTCACAGAATCTTTTGTCATATTGAATAGTCTAGTTCTTCTTTTTTTTTTTTTTTTTTCATGTTACCAAAGATAAAGATGTTCTTCTCTATTTTAGAAAACTGATTTCACATAAGAATATGATACAAAATCAAATAACAAATATTAAGAATTCGATGAAATGAAATACAATGAAATAGAACAAAGATTTCATGTGTCTTTTTTTCTAAAATCAACGTCCACCAGAGAGAAGTGATTCAGCAACTGAAGAAGTGCGAGAGATTGGCCTATCCATGGACGAAGGATAAGACATTGGACAATCCTGAAAGTCTTCATGCAGACCAAATCTTAAGCCGGTGGAAGATAAGCTAAGCAAAGACAAGTCTGGCAGAGGCACATCCTTCTCCAAGTACTGAACAACTTGGCGCATGCTTGGTCTAGCTGAAGGATCTGAATGCGAGCACAACAAAGCTAGTTTCAGCACCAACTCCACCTCCTCTGCCTTATAATTTGTGCCCAAATTTGGATCCCTTGCCTCAAGAATCTCACCTCTTTTCCAACAATTATACACCCAATCAACCAGAATTTCACTCCCAGAACACCCCACTTGCTCTATTGGCCTTCTTCCGCAAACAACCTCTAGCATAAATGCACCAAAAGCAAACACATCAGAGTTTGTAGTGGCCTTACCTGTTCTAGTGTGCTCTGGTGCTAGGTACCCAAGTGTTCCAACCACGTGAGTAGTGTGAGGGTCACTTCCATGCTCATACAATCTTGAAAGACCAAAGTCCCCTAATCTACCATTCAATTGGGCATCAAGTAGCACATTACTAGCCTTAATGTCTCTGTGGACCACAACTTGCTCCCATTCCTCGTGTAGATAAAGCAGACCTGAAGCAACCCCTTTGGTGATTCTAAATCTCTGGCTCCAATTTAGGGTCACTCTTGGTTTGTTATAGAGATACTTGTCAAGGCTTCCATTTGGCATGTAGTCATAGACCAATAGCAACTCTCCTTTGCGCCTGCAGTACCCCAGAAGGGGAACCAAATTCCTGTGCCTTAGACGCCCAATGCTAACAATTTCTGCCACAAATTCTCTCATCCCTTGTCTTGATTCATGAGACACCTTCTTCACTGCAACCTCAAGTTTTGAAATTGGCATCACACCTTTGTACACTCTGCCAAATCCACCGCTTCCCAATAGCTCCTTCTCCCTGAACCCCTTTGTTGCCAGGCTAAGATCTTTGTACTTGAACCTATGAGGACCATAGTCTTGCTCCCAATCTTCAAGCAGCTCCGTGAACTTCTTCCTTTTCATGACATGAACAACTGCAACAGTCACCCCCACGATGACCAAACTGAGTGATATGATGATTGGCAAAACAATAATAAGAACCTTAGACTGTTTTTTACTGCCTCGTCTAGGTAGTGTGGGGAGTTCAGAGATGGCAAGTTGTTGAGCCTGGCCATTCACCTTGAAGCTCCAACCCAAAATATAATGATAACTTCGAATTGACCCAGTTGAGGATGAGAATCCAACGTACATGCCATTGTTAAGAATTGGAGAAAGATCTTTGCTTAAAGATAACAAAGGCCTTTCTGGTTTGCCGATGTTTATTGGAGCTAAAGTAACATCAATCTGCTTCTTTAGGCCATCATATTCCACCCATAACTGCATTGGGTAGCCACTGATCAGACTCAAATTCTTAACCTCCCCGACACTGTAATATCCTGCAGGGGCTGACTTAACCGACTTCAATTCGTTGACATCAATTCCAACATGGTTGTCATTGATATCACCAAATTCAGTGTTCTGAATGGTATCAAGCTCCACCCCAAAAACATGGTTGCTGGTGTTGCCATTATTGATGTTATCAAACAGGCCAAGGTACTGGCTTGGCAGAGAATTTGGAAGCCCTTTTGTTGGAGAGACCACAAAAACAATCCCATGACCACTCAAATTCGGATACTCAGAACTTATGGCAAACACAAAGGAGGTGGAGAAAGAAGATGCACTTCCATTTGAGGTGTTCTTGAAGTCTATTGGACTTGGGAAGAAAGCATGACCCTTTTGTTGCCTGGTGTAGTTGGTGAGTTTAAGCATGCCACCGGAGGTCAACTCAGCACCGCCGTCAAGATACAAATGAGGTGATGACCGGAACCCATTATAGGAGAAACTCACGGAATCTTCACCAGCCACTGTTGTTGCCAGCACAAACACCACTGTTACAACCTTGAAAAACATGGTCTTCTATGTTTCAGAAATTCGTTTCCTTCTGGCAAAGGCTAAATTTCTCGTTTGTTTCTATGTTTTCTCAACCGCCCAAAACGTGTACCACACATTTGAACTTTCAATTGTGGTCCACGAGGAAAGATCCTGGCACTTTCACTGCGAAGAAAACGAACCTCCCTCACAGTTGCGTCTCTAGGTGTTAAACGAGAAATTCAAGATTTGAGATTGCAAAAGTTAAAGATTACAAACAACGCAAAAAATCAGATACATCACTTTCACTTTCTCTGTTTACTTTCATTTTTTTTCAAAATTGTATGTCTATTATTTAATTCACAAACATAGTTATTACCTTTTGGTGCATAATAAACAGACATCACGGAGAAAACGACTACTTCATTACTGATTATGGAACATTGGAACAATTCAATATTTGCCACGTAACATTCTCAATGTTATTAGTTAACGTTATTTTACTATGTTACCTTAAATAATAAAAATTGTAGCCATTAAGGAGAAAGATGAGAAATTGTTTCTGGAAAGTTCCTTATATCGAAGTTTGTGAGTAGAGTCAATTACTATGTGACAAAGAGGTGAGTAGGGACCCTCTCTTTGCGGGTGATATGTGTACAGTACGTTTTTTGTATTTTGGCAGGAAAAAAAGTGACAGAAGAAGGGTGGAAAAGATAAAGAGAAAAAGAGAAAAAAAAAAAAAATAAAGAAACAGGAATAAAGCCTTTTTATTGCTTCATAAGCATCTTGTGAGTAAAATAAAGTTGCTTCTCACTTTCATGGCGCTTAAATTTCAAAACTTTCATACTTCAATTTCATTGAATAAGTTCCACTGTAACAAAATTTAAAATGTTATGTTAGAATAAAAAACAAAACATTTCATTTAAGAAGCAATTCAAAATATTGGGTAAAAAATCACTTTATCTCTCTGAATTTTAAGTTTGGTTGTATTTTCCACTCTGATTTAATAAATATAGCTTTTCCTTCCTCAGTAAACAACTTTATTTGTACATGAACAAAATGTAGTGTATTAAAAGGGTAATTTATCAATTTTGTTTCTTTGTTAGCTTTGGATTGTCTTCGATGGATTTTCATGCTTTCTTTTTCATTCAAAATTTTCGTCTTTTAATACTTTTTCTCATGTTTTCCCTCTCTCAGTGCTTAAATTAAAGTATTTATAATAATTAATGGATTAAATGTTTTTAGTATGTATGAAATTAGAATTTGTTTTTTTCATAAAATATGATCTTAAAATTCTAAAAATAAATGAATATAGTGATTTTAATTTACATTAAAATTTTTTGATATATTAAACACGTTTCACGTTATTATTTAAATTATTTATATAATTTAATATATTTTTATTAATGTATTTAACACATAAAAAATAACTTAATTAAATTAAAATAATTATATTCATTTTTTAATATTTAAAAATTAAAAAATGTATCAAAATTAAAAAATAATACAAATTTTGCATATAAACTAAAAGTATATTTAAGTTATAATTTATTCACAAAGATGAAAGAGGGTAATGTTAATGGTGAGGAAGAATAACTTTCAGAAACAATATAAATTTAGAAAAGTTTATTACTGTTAATTAGATCAATCAAATTTCTTAATATTGAAGAATTAAGTAATTAAAGATTAAAATATGATCATGTTTTTTACAGCAAAACATGATATATATAAGATC